TTTCAATTTTCTTCGAAAATATTAATTGATCTTAAATAATTGAGGACTTACTAATTACCTTAAGAATATAAGCCACTCCAATAGGTGTAGGCTTACAAACAGCCTCGAATATATTTGTACACACCTGAATAAGTGAGGGCTTATAAATTACCTCGAAAGATAAATATTGCATATAATTTATCAAAAATTCGATAGCATTACAATGTAATATGGACTAAATCAACCGGTAATATAACACAATATATATTTGCTGCACATATACAAAATAAATTTGTGGTTCATTTGTCCCTTAAATAATGACAATAAAGAGAAATAGTGATACTTTAAATTTCTCCAAAATATATTGTGTAGAGGGTCTATCATGCATCATAGCAAAAGATAATGTGCAAAGGATGTATCATGCATCATAGTAGATCATATGCTTGCACAACTCAGTATAACATTATTGCTAATGTGAAATAAGTAACACGTTGATAATGTAGATAACGTGACATATGTACTAGTGGTCGTGAAAATAGGTCATGATAACTAGCAATGCTGCGACACACATACTTCACAACAATTAGTTATGATGTAATAATACTAAGATACTAGTATTACAATAACACCCTAAGTTCATGTATAGATATTCATATAATGTGTGGACTTTTGGGTAGAGACGCTCTGAATATAAAAACAGCTATGATGAAGCTAACATCCTTGCATGGGACTGATGCACCTCGTTAAGGACTTCCTCCATGGTGGATGTTTATCCATGGAAAGCATCATCTTCGAAGGAATCAAAAATAACCCCGTGGGGGTGTCATGCACCTTACCGTTCAAAAGTGGACATCTTTATTAGAGGCATAAGCACCTCGTTAAAGGCTTTCTCCATAGTATATAGCGCATCTATGAAGAGCATCATATTTGAAGGAATTAAAAGTGACCCTTTGTGGAGGGTATTGCACACTTTCCATTCGAAGTGGACATACTTGTTAGAAACAGACGCGCCTCGTTAAAGACTTCCTTCATTGTGGATGTGGATTCATAGAGAGCATCATCTTCAAAGGAATTAGAGGTGACCTCATGAAAGGTGTCATGCACCTCGCCGTTCGAAGTTGACATCTTTGTTAGAGGCAGACATATTTTGTTAAGGGCTTCCTCTATGGTAGATAGTTCATCTATAGAAAGCATCATTTTTGAATGAATCAGAGGTGGCCCTGTGGGGATATCACGCATCTCGCAGATTGAAGCAGACATCTTTGTTAGAAGTGGACTACCTTGTTAAGAACTTTCTCCATGGTGGATGGTCATCCATGGAAGGGATCATGAATAGCCGCTTGACTAATCGACGTGCTTAGGAGAATTTAAACTCAACTAAGTAGGTGTATTTAGGAGAATATTAACTCGATCAAGCGATGCGCTTAAGGGAATAGTTGACTGGCAAGGCGCCTTTTATTGGGGTACAGTTGATGTAGAGGCGTGATAAGATCTCTGAAGATAGATGCAACTAAAATATACCTTAAGTAGAGGCATAATGAGCACATTGAAGATATGTACATGTAATGCAACATATTGTATAGTGGGATATTCTGCAAAACGAGGAATGAATATCTAGCTGATGGCTTGTCTCGAACAGTCTAAATCTTATAAGCTGCCTCGGAAGGATGAGGTCTTACGGTTAGCTTGACGATAGTGAGATGCAAGGAATAAGCATTTCATGTAGTTAGGAATAAGCATTTGATGAGGCGAAACTATGGGATCTTATAAGCTAGTCTCCAAATGACTAGTTTTTACAGCTAGGCTCAATGATAGTGAGAGACGAATAATAAGCATCTTGTTAAATTAAGATCAAGCATCAGGCGAGACTAGAAATAAGCATCTAGCAAATAGCTCTCAACTATCAGAGTCTTATAAGTTGGCCTCGGAATGACGAGATCTTACAACTAGGCTCGACGATAGTGAGAAAAGAGGAATAAGCATTTTGCAAAGCCAAAAATAAACATTTGGCGAGATGGGGAATAAACATCTCGTGAATAGCTTTCAACCTATCGGAGTTTTATAAGCTGGCCTCAAAATGATGAGGTTTTACAGCTAAGTTCGACGATAGTGAGAGGCAATGAATAAATATCTCACAAAGTTAGGAACAAGCATCTGACGAGGCGAGGAATAAAACATCTCGCGAGACCAGGAAATCTATCTGGTGATTTGTCTCTTCCTTTATTCAATGAACGATGACTAATACGATGTCGTCTCTGATAATAAAAAAAATTCACGAACTAGGGCTCGCCTTCATTAATGCGAGGTCTTACAGTTTGCTTCGAATAATAGAGATGATAATGAAAAGCACTTTGCTAAATTCATGGTGCGTGCCACCTGCCATTTACAATATATATGGGCAATAATAGGATAATAGTTCATCTCCAAAAATTGAATTGAGCTCCATTACCATGCTCTTTTATGAAATTCTTCCAAAACAATTATTTTGACAACATGGAGAATTGTTTGAACATCCAAACAAATCAATTGGTACAGCTGCTTTATAATTAGCAGGTAAGAGAATAATTTTACAGTCCCAAAATACTTATGATGGGAAATAAATCTGCAAAATATAGGTGTATCCACATAGAGAGCACCAATAGATATTCACTGGACGCCAAACCATTCTTACAAGTTAATGAGAATAATAACTGGCAATAGATTCCAGTGATCAATTTAATTGGTTTCTCTTCCATTTTGAATTTAGAACACTTCCCAGGTAGTTTACACTTGGAGACCAAAATGCTAGAATATATTTATCCCTTTTCCATAAAGTGTTGGCAGCAGGCTAGGTTGCTCATCCACTTAAAATATAGGACTAACAAATAGGCCCACTTTCAAACAAAATCCATGAGGCCAAGTGTAGTTGATAAACTTGGGAGAGAGAATATATATATCAACAGCCCAAATTTAGCACCATCTTAAGAATGGTCATTCTTGATGTACATTAAGAGCACATAAAGGTGCACAAGCACCCATCCAATAGGGGGCGTTAATAGACACCCTTATGTACATGGTAATGTACAAGAAGAATAATCCTCTTAAGGATCAAAAAGGGCCCAAACATTTTACACCAAGGGGGCCAAAAAAGCCGAGAAAATTTAAAATTTTGACCCAATTTTGTTCCAATCGGATCAAATAGATACATCAGGCCCAATAAAATTTTATAAATCTTTAAGTGGGAATAAGTTGTGGTAGCCCAAAATTAAGGTTAAGTA